TTATTCTCTTGTTTTAATATTCCATATGCTGTACATATTCGCCAATTCGAATACATACGTGCTGGTTGCCACTCTTCGTTGAATTCTGGATTTCTAGTTTGTCCGGTTGTACCGATATACGTACGAAACTTAATTACCACAAAAAAACCACATTAATCAGTTACTTATCTCATCATTAAGTTGCATCGATTAAAGCAGAAATTCAAGGAAGGAAATCTAATATGCTGACAGAAACGTCACTGAGTGTGAGTTGTCCTTTCTAGATGATTTACCGCAATTCTACTGTGAAATGACTCTAAGTTGGCTATTACCTTAATCCGAATAAAAAACAATGGAAAGATTCTTCAACAGATTCTAGACTACTTTTGAAATTTTCAGAGTTGAAACACAACGAGCAGACTCACTTAAGTGGAGGTCAAATCGTGCCAAACAAATACAAGACACGTCACATAGTCAACCTTGCTAGCAACTTTAGAAGATCAGAACGCGATGTTGCTGACTAGTTGTGAAGCAACGTTGACAAAGTCAGATAAATTCTATCTATCCACCTGCCCTGAAACAACGCTGATTCGACTATAATCTAAAACAAAATTTCCTCCTTAATAAATCTGCCTCTATGATGCCCTTTTATTTGTCTACAAATATCGTTTAAAGCTGGCAACGAAACTAATCGACTTATGTCTTCTCATTTTCTAAGTGCGATGGACTACGAGAACACAATGTTATAAAAGCCGGGTCACTACTTTTCCATTTGAACAAAACGAAAAATATCACCTTTCAGCTGTGGAAGCCCTCCGATGGATGGGTCCGATGTAGTCTGAAGGAAGCGTGAGGACTAAGAAATTATCATGTTGCCCAAGCTTAAACAGGAACAGTCAAAAAGCCAGGGCTAGATTCGAACAATCGGTTCGAGGCTACAGGAGCCGCTGTTGTCCGCCGCAGCTACATGCTCGTCGTGTGGTCTCCCTGGACATGTATATTGCTACGTGCGCCCCTGGTACAAGTAGACAATGGTAAAAAGCAACTGATGGAGAAATCAGGATTGGCTTCCGTGGGGCGGACGATACCTGACAAAATGTAGTATGCGGGGCAGCGGTCGCTGGATATCCTTTTCATACTGGCTGAATCAGACACAGGAACACTAGCGGCGTGAACAGATTTGCNTGTATGCAGCAAGTAAGGCGACCCGGCTGATGGAACCACTGCCATGAGGGAAAGGGATTCTTGAAATCGAGAGGAAATAGGTAAGCTTAGGCAATCGGATGGCTTAAAGTATCACGGCTGGATGCAACAAACTGGCGAACCGATAAAAAATGTCGGTACTGATCCAAGGATGCGCGAACTGAATTACGTTGAGCGAGCTACACAATTTCCTAAGAAGACCACGTAGTAATAAATAAACCCCAAAAACAATCATGACCATTTTCGACGGAACAGTCACCTCAAACTACGAGAAAAGGAGCGAAGGAGCCGAAAATGATAATTATTGTCATCTAGTGTACAATCTCATAGTTTATAAATCGAAAGAGCCTTTGCGTAAGCTATTAATTGGACAATGCGTGGTCATTAGCAAGTGATACACTGAGCTCACCACATCTGTTAACCCAGCGACCGCACTGACCCGTACTTTGGTACCAAACGACATGCAATTCACTTAGGTCTCAAGGTTTCTGGAACGTGGATTTCTAAGTAACTGGCCAGAACTATCTGAAGAACGCTGAGTGGCACGTTTTTTTCGCACTGTAACTTATCTCTTGTTCATTGTTGATGAAGGCAGAAACAGACTTCCACAAATCCCACGAGCAGTCACATTCTAAGATTGAAAAGAGGCATTATGCGTGCTATCAAACAACGCATAGCAGATGCGCGCGGGAACACGTGGGTAACACGCTTTCCAGAACGGGAGGTTACATATAACCAAATTACCGATATCCGAGAAACCCTTGAACAGTAACGTAGACGCTGGAGATTCTATTAATATGGTCACGGTTGACTTTAATAAGTCATATGATAAGCCTCCGTATGAATGGTCTCTACAGAAACTATCCTTCCACGACATCATCCACAAGCTTCAAAGCCGGTTGTGAGACTTTCCCGAAAGGAGCAAAAATTCATTTGAGTTTACTCGCTTACGGCATGGTGGTATATTTGGGATTCTCTAGGGATGGGTTCTGAATCCAAAACTCTTTAAAGTTTGCGTCAACGGTCAGCTGAAGCATCTCGCTTCGAGAAGTCACTCATATTTGCATAACTTGAAGTTGTGGTAGGTGAAACCGAATGGAAAAGTGAACCAGGCCTAGTACATCCCAGATGGCTTGTGTGCTTGTCTACTCCGCTGAATGATTCTGGTCAACGACGAGAAATGCAGTGCTATACATACTGGGTTCCCCCGGTAAGCAAGCTGGCTTCATCGAAATGCGTTCTTCGGAAGTGTTTCCAGAACGTGAAATTGGGGTGTTAGTTGTTACTGACCTCGAAAAAGATGGTTCTGGACTGTATACATGACGCCCCACTCATTAGGTTTATGAAAGCTCTTCGACAGTCCACGACCGGTTTTGCCCTTCTTATGGATTATTAGGTAGGCAATACTAGAACATGAGGCAGCCTGATGCACACATTCAGTTGAAGGACATTATAAACAAAATATCCAGTTGCGTATCCAGAGCAAATGAGGTTCCTAGAACCAGATGACACCAGAAATCTTTTTGTCTTTCTTTTCTAGGCAAGTCAAACAGGTCCACAGTTCAGCAAAATAAACTGAATAAATACGAGAGAGGTAAATGCCACGTTGGACATTTTTACACGTCCTCAGACAACTATTACTGACCGGCGCCAGGTGGTTACGTGCATCGATGCGACTGTTCGCTGTCTTTGATCGGTTATTGGAACCACGAAACACCAAAGCGTTGTGTGACTTGCACAGCTGTCTTAGTGTCACAATCAAAACTATTCTAGCGGAAAACATCATGACGAACAGCAGGGTCATGTTCAAACACTTCCCTCTCCCATTAGCTTTCACATAGGTGGTTGCACATTGGAAGCGTAGCTGACGCCGCCGCCATGGTGAAGCAATTAGGGAACGATCATTCGCATCTGGTTAAAGGTGAAGGGATGACCAGTTAAATTGTGTATTGACGTTTTACGTCCATCAGTGCGAGAGCGGGCGTGCGTATATACGTGTTTATGTGTGTGCAAACGTGCCATTGTCCTTAAAAACCTTATAGGCTAAGGAAGACTACGGCACACAGATCGTAGAGACCAACACATCAACAACTAACTGCAGACATCAACAGCTAACTGCAGATATCAAACAGCCCTTCAATGTAACAGCAACCTCAAATAGATGTGAAGCAAAGACTGAAGATACTGCCGTTTGCATACCAAACCACCAGTAGCAGCTATTTAAAATAAATGAAATCAGGAAATCTACGCAAGACGGGTCTCCCGGATGCCTGCATAGTGGAGTTTAAACCAACTGATCCCTGAGCAGCCTTAGCTACACATCGAACTTCCCCGAGGTTGAATACACACGATGTCATTAGTATCGTCCAGTCGCTTGGACCTAGTGACAGATGTTATCGCATCCAAAGAAAGGCTGTCCTCTAATGTTCCTTATTTCGGATATCTAGAAACCATGTAGATGCGGTTTGTGGCTGATGAACACTCAAGCCCAAATCATTATACTGGACGTCAGCATGCCAGAGTTGACCTGAGCTGAAAACACCGCAGAATAGCACCATATTTGTGGGAACCAGCCAACAGTACGGACCACGTGAACCCTCAGGGGGACCACCTCACCTAAAAAGCACCGTTCATGTCACGTATCGTCTGGAAAAGTAGATTTACACGAGCCTGCTTTTCCATTGGTGCTCGTTGATCAAACGACAGAGTCCCGAGTAGAATTTCTACGATGTATCGTTTAACACAGACATGAGACTAGCGTTTTTAGCGCTTCGGTGAATTGTCGTCGGTTCATCTATCGATCCGACCGGATTCCAAGATCTATTGGTCAAACTGCTAAATAATCTGATTGTATGAAATCAAAGAGTGAAAGTAAGCAAGATTTAGGACAGCAAGTTACCATAGTTTCTCAAGAATTCTTCACAGAATTAATGGAATTCAAAAGAAGCTGATATATCATTACGTCAATTCATCTAAAGACATGTGCACTATCAAACTCTATTTAACAAAATAGGACCGCGAAAACCTTTAAGTTTTTGTTGAAGTTTTCTAGAAGCAGGCATTCTTCGCCAAACTCGGAAGACGGACCTTTTGCCAACGGAGCAATGGGCAACATAAAACTTGAAGCTTATCTTTCGGCTAAACTTAGTACATAAGGCTACATTCTCCTGATGTTGTTTCTTGTCCCTAAAAGCAGGAAAAACAGCACGTGCGCTGAACTCCAAATGAGTAAATAAAAATGAACTTCAGTTCGTCAACTCTATACAGCGCACGATCGTCAATGACGCTGATCTACATACCAGCCATGCACAATGTGCTGAGAACCGGATCAGCTGGATTCACCTAGCCAAACGAATCAGCTAGCAGTCATGATATTGTTAGGTTCAGTGGACACAACGGCAGATGGTCCGTTGCGAAAACAGTCAAGTGTTCGGTATGATAAGCGTCATCGAAGCGGTGGCACGAAAACGACTCTAAACGATATCTTTACCATTTTAGTTGCTACGTTCAGGGCACAATGCCCTGACACGTCCGAGGTCGTAGAAATGTGCTAATTAGGCACACGTTTCATACACGAGCGATAATGGCTTGTAGTGACGGGCATTCACACGAGGGGCTGTTGGGGGGGGGGGGACAAAGACTACGAGTGTTATCAATCCCCAGTCCCCTTAACACCCGCCACCCGCAGACAGACCAGTACTAACGCAAGTTCAAACAACGAGCCCAGCAATAAAAAGCAGACAAACACTCAGGGTCTTTGTGCGGTCCACATTGGTCTAAGCCAACCAGTGATGATTCGTGTTGACAGCTGTTTTGTGCACGTGCCGGTACATGAATGAGCCCGGATACAAACAGCAGGTGGGCATACAGATGAGGTTTTCGACTCTCGGTGTAAAACTTCATCAACGGAGAAAAAGCGCACAAACACTGGACTGAAAGCATCGATCAGGCGCGCAAAGTCCCTCGTTAAGTCATCATCATCGAGTATATCATGCAAAAATCGTCAATACCAAATTGCTGATCAGATCCGGTGGCCAGTTGGTCGGGAAACAGGTCTAGCAGTGTATTGCTCTTAAACCACAAGATGATTAAACTCACTGTGGAAAAACTCAAATCCCGTGGTTGAAAATCCAACACATTTGGAAACATTCCATAGTATGACTGTGGATCAAACAAGCTAGCACAGGGGTCCAGCGCATCGGAAGAATCTCACAACTGAACTAATCGTAGTCGATGTGGACTGAGTATTCAAAACTTGATCACTGTGTTATCGGATTGGAAAAGCGTGTAAGCTTGGGGCTCCTCAACGTGATTAACAGAATACCCTATAACCCTACATCAGCACCGCATACAAACGGGAATCCTTGAAAACAGATGATAGGATGGAAATAGCGAACTGAAAAAGCTCTGGATATGAAGTGAGGAAATGTGAGTGAGACTCTGACGTTGATTTCTGACTATCATTTTAAATCCGAGCAACGGATATGCAGGGGTGTTTACCAGACAGGTTCTCAAGGTGAATTCAGGCTTGAAAATCTATTAAAAATAGGGAATCACTGTGTAACTGTGTCTTCTCGGATTGTGGACGGCAAACGTCAAGACAAAACCAACGAAAGTAGTGAATTACCCACAAGGTAATTCCAGTTAAATAACAGAACGCTCCACAAATGTATCATGATGGTTAAGTGGTTTTGAAATCACATCGATATTCCTTGAAAAATATCAACATCATGTGGATAGCTTCAACTGATTAGAGATGGATCAGCACTCACTTGAAACGAGAGCACTTGTGTCGCTACCTCGGAGAACATGACCCTCGTATTCAGGCGTCACGCAACTGGAGTGTCCGGTGCCAGGCGAATGTGGATAGACGATCGTTTGGTGCACGGGGGGATAGACCCACTGATTTGCAGTAGGTAGTGGAGGTGGTGGGTATTCAGGTGGAGGCGGGATAGATTGTGGGCCACCGTTACTAGCAGTGTATGGAGTACAGTGACTGGGTTGGATACTGGGTAGCAATCGCGAAGTAATCGGCCATTGTCTAGTGGCTACCGGATCCAAACGGCCGCTCTCCATAAGACCACCTGTGACATTTTGTCCACTGACGCTTTTGGACATTACCGATGGACCGCGAAGGGCAGCACTCTACAAATAAGAATCACATTAGCACAAAATCTACGCAAGAAATTCGAAGTATTACCAGTCACATAGTGACATTTTATGAACCGAAACTAAAACATCCTATTATGTTATATCATGTGACTAGTGTAAAGAACATAACTCACATGAAATAATCTCGTCTCTGGTAAACTATTCTGGTACAGTGGACAAAGCCTGGTGATTACGACCGAAAAGTGCATGGAGTCGACTGCTATCTAGGCGTGAAGCGCAACCATCCTGGAACATGGTAACTCACTTGCCTGTTTGTCAGAACATTCTCAAACATACAATTAATGCGCTAGAAGACGTGAATGCGGTGTAGGAAAGAATGAACACGTTGCAATACCAACAGTCCACACCGGCTCTAAACCCCGCATGTGAACAAACAAAATGTTGACAAACGTTGCACGTGAAACAGGTCTGAGCGGTTTCATCATCAATTTGACGCGCGCACACACATTTACCGCACACGCAGATACCGGGTCAGACTAGCCAAATGTTGTGGAACGAACAGAGCGCGTGAGAAAGAAAAGGGAAACCGGGTAAACAAATTGGACACTGTCGGAGAATGCATTTACAGATAAACCGGTCTACATCTCGATAGAATCGAGTGAAACACCAGGTGTAGAAAGAGAATAATTCAAGCGGAAAAACTTGTGAACCAGCGCCGATCGAGAGTAAAACTAGGCGATTGGAGTTTTGGACAGGTGGACATCTCCCGTGCAGACACTAAAAAGTCGCCGTAAAGACCAAAGATGCTTGTTTAACTTGGTACTAAACTAATTGCGATAGAGGAGCAGCAGATGATAAGATGAACAGATAGTATTTCATTCATCTATACCTAGAAACATCGTGCAACTGTTTTATCCTTACTGAGAATCCTCATCCATGCACATTTCGCTAACCTCTGTAAGAAACCCAGTATGGGGGCGCGTGTGCCACATCGTGCCGAACTGCAGGTTCTTTACACCGTTCTTTTCATCGGCCACCCGTAGCTGAGGGGAAGTGATTTTCAGTTTGCATTTCTGGTTACGCACCTTTGGCCCAAAATAGGAATGAAGCAACCGCATGATACTTTCCAGCTCTGTAACGCAAAGCCTTGAAGACGTCCAATGACTTATAAAACTTAAACATTCCTCTCTTTATGGATCCCTCTTGGAAAGTGTCGGATGACATGTCACACAAAAAATATCATATTTCACAAAGAGTCCAAAATGAATCCAAGTGTGTTTTACAAAGTTTTAACCGCGAAGGACCACTTCTTATCAGAGCAGCTTCAATCAAATCAAAATCTCTTGCCTTCTAACAGATCAAAATTCCCTAATCAATGGCAAAATAGTCCGTTGCATTCATCCCGGGACTGTCGCTAAATGGATGCCCACCGGTACAATCCGATTGTGATAAGTCCAGCATATTCCACTGGTTTGGCGATACCAAAATCAAGTTGGATCGCTTTGTTGCCATACTCGACACTACGAGACCCCAATGGTTATGCCACCCTTCGCAGCTCTAATCGGAGATGCAATCCTCTTTCTCTTACTGCGAGGGCACTCTAGGCTAGGTGTAAAAGTGAAAACTTAAAGAGGAGATTTAACCGTCAATCTTTTAGGGTTTCGATCAGTGATACGTGTGACATGGAATGTCTATTATAATAAGTATTCACTCAAGAGGTTTGAAAGGAAGAAGGCCTTCGCTGCAGAGTTGTGTACACACTCTACTCCCTTCGCCATGTCGTGAAAAATAGCAAGTAAAAAGCCTAATCTGAAAAGGACTTAATTACGATGCGGAAGTCGTTTGGCCACTCAGGGATTTGAGGGCAGAGACATTGCCCTTGGACAATTTCACAGATGGTGCTTCACAAGGGCAGTCGAGGTCTGAGGCGTCTCCTGACATTACTCCATACACCAGCTGTGCATCGCCAAGCTGCATCTTTTTCAGGGGCTCCATCACACCTGTGCTGTCCGGGGCCACATCGTACTTATGCTCTTTCAAACCAGTTCCAGTGTAGGAAGTGTTAAGTCCACAAACTGCTGTCGCATTGGCCTCTTCTACGGCCTTCGTGTTTCGAGGGGACACGGTGAGGTAGTGTGACAAGGGGAAGAAAGGGAATCGAATATAGATGGGGCTCTTGACGGCTGCAAAAATGGACTATTTATTCACGAAAGAGGTGTCTCTTGCTCGGTGACTCCATGGAAGAAGGCTCTGTTGTGGCGAAGAAAAGGATGGAAGCCAAGCCGTTGTGTATACTACATCTACACAGTACTCAAAAGGTACACGCACTGATGCGATATTCGTTAAACTACCTGGCATGAGTAACTGTCAAAGCAGTGTTCAAATGGCCTATAAAGACCACCTAGTCGGTTGGAACTGACAAGCTATGGAAGAAAAAACTGGAAGGCTATGGCTGAGAGTAACATGTGGCAAGGATCATTTTATCATCAGCAACAGTGGCAGTTGAACCGAGTTGTTCACGTCCAAACCTGGCTTTTCATCTACTCCTGATTGAACTTCGCAGCCTGACAATATCTCGACCTTCGGTTCCTAATGCAGCCAGGCACCGAAAAGTATCATAAGCACCGGAAGGGTGCTACCGCTGAACGATTATAGTCAACAAGGTAAACTTCAACTTCACTGTGGTCATATAACCGAGTGAAAAAAGGCATGTGAAAGCAGGGTGGGTGATATGACAGCCTAGCATGTTATTTCAACGACGTTCTATCGCAACAGCATTCTAAAATAAGCTGATTCATTGATTTGCTAATTAAGTGGTAAACTGCACAAACAAATAAAGTGGTCTCTGTGGGACAAAAGTGGCATGGAATTGAGTCTTCCATGTTGCCTTGGTTTTTAGCATACTATATCCAAAGGCAATACTTAGGAATTAAGCCGCTCGGTTAAGCGAAATAAACGGACGTGAACAAAATCGGATGTGAAATCATACAGGATGAAAAAACCGTTCAGCTATAGCACCCTTTCGGTGCCTAGCTGCCATGCCACCCGAAGGAAGCACGAGAGCTGGGATACTGCGAGATTGCCCAAACCTAGACAGGGGAAGTCGAGAGGCAGAGGGCGGGTTCGAACCACAGACCTTCCGGTCAGTAGATTCACGCTGAAACGCGAGGTTTATCAGTTCTGATTCAAATGGATTAAGTTTAACTGATGGCTAATGGATGTTCGATGAGGTATCACTCAAAACTGTCAACCAAAATGACAACAAAATTCACCAAGATTGGACATCAGTTTCACCTCAAAGCTCTCCAAAGAAAAAGCATGTATCCATTCAAACATCTGATTGGTGGCACACGTGATCGTCCCGACATCTATCACCACCAAAAAACCGTTTTAAGCTCCAAAACACGTTTGTTGATGATAAGTTGAGACAATCCACCCTTCTCACGCAGACAAACTGTGGTTGTCAGTAGGCGATGCGTTGATACCAAGATTGAGAAGCGTTCTAGCACAAGTCATAAACAAGTAGAAACAGTTTTCACCAACTGGGAAGATTTATTTCTGCATCACACGGTTATCCATCAACTCCCTGACCGTCCGCGATAGGATTTACAACAACCCTGTTGGGACAACCAGACGAGTGCGATTTCTAGGACGGGGAAAAACGGTGCGAGCTGTATACTATCGGTCGGACCACCACCACCACAATCAGCATCACCTGGTGCGCAGTTCGCTTAACGTAGCCGATTATCCGAAGATTTTTGCACACCCTGTGAAGCAAACAATGGAGGAAAAACTGGCTTGTTAAAATTTAATTTAAGAGCCCCACGAAAACCCTAGCTTCTAGACATATTCGGACAAACAAACGCGCCAGATACGGGATAGAGCGAACAAATTGAATACATCTGTGTTAACTGTGCGCGGGTTCGTTTGTGTACGTGTGTAAGAGGAAGGGTTGCAGAGATGTCAAAAAGATTGATGCGCTCTTCTCTTGGTGGCTTGTCCACTCAAAGAATCGTCCAGTCATGACGGTAGGAAGTCAGACAAACGTGGAAAAAAAATACGCACACGTCAGTCCAAACAACCTAAAAAAATTTTCCATGGAAGATTCGAAGAAAATCAGAGATTGTGGACTATGTGCTGCTTAATAGTTTGTGTCGTTATTTGACGTAAGATTACTAAAGTTGCAGCCGTCCAAGGATTTTCACCCTATGCTGATTGCTTGAATCACATGTCTTGGTTGTTGTAAGAGTCGTGATCGAACCACAACAGATCTCACTGAGCGTACAATCAAGCTGTGAGTAGCGATTGCCAGTTTGCTTCAATTATGGAGTCAAAACCGAATATCGCTGAAGCCAACGGGTAGTATGTAGAAAACAGTTGAAACAACGGTCTTGTTTTACGGTTGCTAAGTCTGGTCATCTCACTCAAGCTTTCTTCTTTCACGGTTTTAGGAAATATCTAATACCGGAGTACTGCTATGAATGATGACAAAGGGGTGATGATGATGCTATACCATATATATATATATATGTATAATATAAATATATCAGTCTGAGTCTCAAAGAGAAGCGGCAACAAGAAGCTCGGAGCTACTGGTTAAACTAGCTATTTGCAGATCCACAAACCCCTGTATCGACAGATGTTGCAAAGGGTTGCAAGCCTACGGGGCCCAGCAAACACCTGCGGCGATCGGCCACCAAAAGCAATCGGTTCTGGCAGGTTGGTTAGTTCCGTTTCGGTAATCTGCCCCTATATTACCAACGAGGACCACATACAGAAGTCACAATTGGCCTTATATCCTGGCTACACCGTCAACTTGCACCGTTTCTCCTCTCTCAGCTATATGCGGGTAGTCAGGTTCCTAACAAATTTCGACTCACATTTTGAACCTAGCAAAACTTACCTTCGCAGGATGGCCAGAATCAAAGTTGTCCCTCCCATAGAGAGGCTACCTTAGAAACAGAAACCGTTAAAACACGTCCTTGTGGATCAACCGAACAGGTCTCTCCTACAAAGTTGGTTATCGTTAGATCAAGTGGACCAGGGCGCCCCCATTCACAAGAGCCCAATTTCGATAGGTCCCATCAGTGCGTGCTTTAGGGGAGTGCTAGTGTACCATAAAATGTTCAAATGAGAAAACCCCAAGCTGTGTTTTTTAAAGTATCATATGTTATATTATATATTATATTACTATATTATATATTATGTCGTTCCCTTGAGAAGACTTCCCTCTTCCAAAAAGTTATCAATCCTGAAAGGGCTACGCAATTTAAAGTAAGTTTTGATGGCAGATGGCTATTATCTAAGACAAATCAAGGACACTGAACACCACCGAAAAATCGGTACCTATGTTGAGAAAAAAGGAAGTCAAACTACATCTGAGTGTAAAAAATTTCGTCAATTTCAATTATTCCCCACCTATACGGATAGCCAAATGAAACCGATTATTGCAGCCTCTACCGGACATGTATGAAGGTCCGCATCGTATGACAGCTAAGCAGTTAGTCAAGGTTCTTGAACCAATACGCCAAGAAATCTGCCAACTTAGCATCTGCAGAAACAGAAAATGATTCAAGTGTAAGCCAGAAAAGGAGAGTAGTGTATGTATCTTCTTGGTTTACCGTTGTCCATCTTATAGGATCTAGCTATTATCACTGTCACCACTTTCCGGCTATTAATGACTGTGGTAGTGCTACGTGCACAGTGAATGTCCATTATAAGTCTGATGTCAGGTCCTACCAACCACTAGATGACGTTACGGTGGTGTCTACCTCCGGGCCACTACTATTACTACAGAAATCTTTATGGGTCCTCTAAGAGATCAGTCTCCGATAGAATACTCAGGGGATGAGGCCTTACAGACGACTCATGTACGAACTATTCTCGTTTGTGTCTCATGCCTTCGAAAATCAATTCAGTTCCCAGCGGGGCAAGCAGCTGAAGATTCGTTCCATGCCCTTTATGTGCAGTTATGGCGACGGTGGACTGACACTATTAGACACTCGATTTTCATAACAGATGAATGGAACAGTGTAAGAACTTCAGTAGCTTTGTCCTTTTAACCACAAACAATATGATGCGTTATCCATGTGTTTTCAACCTGAGCTAGGACAAAACAAATATCTGAAACTAGAAAGTGACCTACCGGAGTGATCAATTCAGATGGATGCTGGTTGCCAGCACTAATGGATGACCACATAGGGCAGAAAAGCTATTTTCATCAGTGTACCTTTCAAGAGATCTACCATTGACTCCATTACCAGACGCTTACACCGAAAATCCACCAAATGTTTTCAGACCTACGACTTGTTTGCCACTAAAGCGCTAATCCTTGTCAGCGTACAGATGTCCACCTCAAGTTATGGCGCTAGGCAGAAAATATTTGGGCAGCTAATCAGACAACTCTGAAAAAAGATGAGACAGCCTTTTTGGAAAAAAATTACAAAAATCAATTACTGGTGACCTGACTGCACATCTAATCGACACGAGTCACCTGATCAAACTTGAGTCGACATTCAGAGTGCCGGAGATTAATAAATAGACTTGTTTAGCTGGAACCGAATCAGGTCAATATTGCGTTACCTATGCAAACCCAGTGTGCAATTCACCGGAGATCTTAGACTTCATCCCAATATTCCAACACACTAGCAACTTCATTCCAAGTGATCATTGGCCGGAAAAAACAACTGACCAAACTGGAACGCCTAGCTGCTTTAAGCTGTTTCGACCGTAAAACCCACCGTTCTGTCCTTTATTGTATTATTGCACCACTTAACTAAAATGTCGTGACCTGATAAAGGGATCTGGATGACACCTGTCCTTCGCTGTTTGTATTTCCAAATGGAAGTAGTCTAGCCAGGGAAAAGTGACCTAATGTTGTCTTTTTAGCTGATGCTGTGTACAGAGGGTCTCTGGCAACTGGTCTCCTGTTGCTACCTACACCGCGTATGGCCCAATAAACCCGTTGAAAAATCCGTATCATAAAGACCAATAGAGTTTCGACCATGACGTAGTTGATGCGCTGGCAGTGATAAGGATACAATGCATTATGAAAAATGTGATGAACATGACTGATGCTCTATTCATTGCTCTATTCATTATTCTCTTGTTTTAATATTCCACATGCTGTACATATTCGCCAATTCGAATACATATGTGCTGGTTGCCACTCTTCGCTGAATTCTGGATTTCTAGTTTGTCGGGTTGTACCGATATACGTACGAAACTTAATCACCACATTTTGGCGTCGCGATTGGAACAATTCATCATGCCTGCCGAAATGGAACCATTAGAAGTTAATTCAACTGCGCGTGACGTAGAGGATTACTTGGAACGATTCGACATATGGTGCCTCACAAAATCCGATATGGATAATAAGAAACTCACTGCATATTTCCTACATTTCGTTGGCAAGGAGGCGTATACTTTGATCAAGAATTTAGTATATCCTGAATCTCCAATTGATATTCCTTACACAGCATTGAAAAACAAAGTTCTTCAACACTTCAAACCGATTAACTTCGTAGCAGCCGAAAGAGCTAAGTTCAATATGTTAACCCGCTCTCATTCTCAGTCGGTCCGTGATTTCGTGTTACAGCTGCAGACACAGGCAGCCAAATGTGACTATGGTGCCCAA